AAGATATGGTTACCAAACGTCCCCATTTCCCAGGGACAGTCCCCAGATTTACAAATCTGTCCCCGGACAAAATCCATCCCCGGAATGTTCCCGGATTTCATTTAATGTCCCCGGATTTAAATTTTAAGTGTTGTAGTTTTATTAGTAGGCAATGAATGTTGCGTGATTGGTTCAACAGCACAAGACACATCATATGGGGATATATGAGGCAAAATGGTGGGTGCCATGGCAGCGAGCAGCTCCTGAAGCCAGCCAGAGCCAACTGTGCTACCATGCTGGCTCCGGGCTGCTGAGACTGCTGCTGCCGCTAAGGGGAAACCGGGGATGCCCAGCACGTCAACTGGGAGAACCACTGACCCCTCCCCTGCAACCCAAATTGAGCAGGGTGCAAAAGCATCTGGCCACCCAGCTGACTGCCCAGTGGCGCAAGGAATACCCCGGAGCTGGCACAGGGAGAAGGAGGAGAGGCGAAGGAGATGGAAGAGAGAGAAAGAGGAAGGGGAAAAAAGAAGGGAACCCCAACCTTGCCATGCCACTGCCGCCACTGAGGAGAGGTAGGAGAGCACCGGGAGGGCAAGGGCACATGGTTGAGCCCAGGCCTGACCCAAGCCTACTCAAGACGGCTAGCGCTCCAAGAGAGCAGACCAGGGCCCAGAGGAGACCACAGAAGAGAAGATATTACTTCTTGTTTTTTAAAAAATAAATAATTAAAATTTTAATAACTTTTTTTTTGTCTTTTCACAAAAAAAAGTGTCCCCGGATTCTTTGAAAAAAATCTGGTAACCTTAAGAAAATTAGGATATAACTTTTCTGGTACTTTCCATCACCTCCCATGGGACCTTCTGCATCAAAGCATATGCTCTAACACAAAACCAGTGGATGAGGGCAGTATTATCTTTCAATTGTTTACAGGGGTGCCTAAACTTTTTTCAAAGAGGGCCAGATTTAATGAAGTTTGATGAGTTGTTTTTAGGATTGAAGTTGCTGAGCTTTTTTTAGGATTTTACCCCAGGACATATGCTGCCATGGGGCGGACTTTGGACATCTATTGAATTATTTGCACCAAAATTTCACCTATTGTTTTAATTATATTGAAGGAAAACAGCTGTTTCTTCTTCCTCTTTTTTTACAAAATGTATTGCATTCCTCCACAACCCTCTGCAGCTTTATTTAGACGTGATAATTAAATGCGTGAGGGAACACAACCTTTTCTTTCCGGACAAACAGCAAACTACAAAATGTATGGACCTTTAGAGTGCTTTTGCAGCAACATCTATTACTCTAGAATCCATTTCTGAACACAGCAGCGCCTGATAAATCGCTGGAGCTTAAAGAAAGGCTCAATAATTTGCAGTGGGGCAGGCATGCGATTTTCTTTGGTTGCAATTGCAACACCGAAGAGTCCCTTAAAGACTAGCAAACACTGCACGCTTAACAAGCAGGAGCCGAAGTTCACAAGACCCCTTTCCCCGCAAATCCCTCTCTCCTCTTCCGTCCAAAGAGCGCTCGACTTCCTCCAGCCCCGGCCACACCCAGCGGTGTTTTGTTTCGCTCCTTCCACCCTCCCTGAGGAGCAGCCGGATGCGCCGGGAGCTGAGCCTTCATTATTGCTACATCCTCCTCTGCCTACTTTTCCGAGCACCGCAAGCGCGGCGCCTTTAAGAAACGAGGCTGGCCACGCCCACCCCTGAGGCCTCCCCAACCAATCGCGAGCGAGACCGGGCTTAGGGGGCCAATCGGCGCCGCCTTTAGTGCGAGGCGCTCGAAGCCGCTCCCTGAGGCGGAGGAAGCAAGATGGAGGCTGCTCCTGAGAGGAACGGGGTGTCTCTCGCCGGCGGTGGCGGCGGCTTCGCCCCCGAGGTCCCCGAGAGGCTCCAGCAGCGGGAAGCGGAGCGGAAGGAGGAGGCCGGCCGGCGTCGCCGCGAGAAAGAGTCTCTGGCGGTGCGGGAGGAGCAGAGCGACTACTTCGCCGCCGCCTTCGCCCGGGAGCGGGCGGCCGCCGAGGCCTTGCTGGAGCCGGAGCGGGACGCCGAGGCCGTGTCGGAGGCGGCGCGGCGGCTGCAGGAGCTGCAGCGGCTGCTGACGGACTCGGTGCGCTTCCTCGCCCCCTACGAGGTGCGCCAGGCGCAGGCGGCTCTGGGGAGGCTCCAGGACGCGCTGGCCGAGCGGCGCCTCCAGCTGCAGCCCAAGAAGCGCTTCGCCTTCAAGAAGGGCCTCAGGAAGGAGGCCCAGGAGGCGCCGCCGCCGCAGCCAGCGCCTTCGACGCAGGAGGGTCAGCCAAGCCGGGCGGAGGAGGAGGAGGAGGAGGAACCCGGGTGCGGCTTCAGCCGGGCCGAAGGAATGGAGCTGGAAATGGGGCCGGCCGAGCTGCTGCAGCGGGACGTGGCGCTTTCGCAGCTGAGCCGCTGCAGGGTGCGGCTGCGGGGCAACCCCAACACGCTGTCGGTGCGCGGCTGCCGGGACTGCACGGTGCTCTGCGGGCCCGTGTCCACCTCGGTGATGGTGGACGGCTGCGACGGCTGCGTCGTGGCCCTGGCCTGCCAGCAGCTCCGCACGCACCGGGCCACCCGGAGCAGCTTCTACGTGCAGGTGACCTGCCGGGCCATGCTGGAGGACTGCAGCGAGGTCCGCTTCGCGCCCTACACGTGGACGTACGAGGGCATCGACGCCGACTTCGAGACTTCCGGGCTCGACAGGAGCAGGGACAACTGGAAGCAGGTGGACGACTTCAACTGGCTGGCTAGGAACGAGCCCTCGCCGAACTGGAGCGTGATCCCCGAAAATGAGAGGATCACGGACTGGGATTGAACCCGTGATTGTAGCCCCTTCGCCTCCGCAGAGGGGACTAGATAGTGCCTGCTGCATTCTGGAAACGGCGTACCAAAGGATGCAGTTAGAGATACCAGATTGATGTCCTTTTCTTGTTCCCGGTATTGGTTTAGGCAGTGTAATAATCAGGGGCCAAACACAGCCTGGTGGCTCTTGCTACCTAATGAATGGTGCTGACGCCTTCTGTTGTGCACACTCTGTGTTATGCTGTGGCTGCCTTAATATTTCTCCGAATTCTGTTATGGTGGTGCTTTCTCATCTCTGCCCCCGCTTTTAAGATGTGCCATACCACTAAAGTACTCTTGGTTATCTGCCCATTGTGCAGGTTTAAAAAAAGATAGTGCTTTGGATGGTGAAGTGCTTCAGCTCTGTAACACCAGTGCAAATGTTGAGGAAAGTATAACCTTATCTAATGGCTAAATTGATACTTGTAGTTAAAGCTGAAAAAAACGTTGACAACAATTAGTATACCACATGTCTGCCAAATAAGCTTATTCAGGAATGTGGCACATGTATAACAGAGATGCTACAAGTCAGAATAGGGGTGTCAAACCATCCCTGCAAGTGGCTGCCTAACCTTTTAAACAATTCAAATTATGCTTTATTTCCAGAAGCAAACTTTGGATGGACTTCCACTTCAGTTTCAAATGTCCGTAATAGAATATACTTTCGTCTGCTAGAAGACATTAAGGGATTACCTGCACCACCTGCAAAATGTCACCAAAACGTGTTGCTGAATTACGGTGTTTGTAAGCTTTAGTTCACCTTTGCACCTAGAGCTGACAAATACTCTAATCCCGAACAAGTGCATATAATTGGTTTTGGTTTCAATTAACACTGTACCTGCAAGTTTTTGAAAGGTCTGGACCAGCCAAAAATGTATACATGCATTAAACAACTAAAGCACATGCTTAATTCTCCCACAAAAATCATTGTGAAATTAAAAGTGCTGAACTCTAGCTAGATTGTGCCCACACGTTTATTGTGCTGTGTGCAAGAAAACTACTTTGACAGTAACCACACGAAACTTCATATAGCATTTTCATGTTTCTGTACAAATATGAAATGGTCTGGACATTTAAAAGTCTTGATGTACTGTCCATGTTATTTCCGCAAATGTCATTTTGGATTAAAACAAACTAGTCACTGTTAGAGGTAATGCCTTTGAGCTCAGTATTGTTGGCCTGTCTATAAACTCTATAAAATCGGTCTTCATTACTGTTTGACTGTAACAAAAATCATTTCCGTTCCTTGTGTTATTTTAGTATTTATATGAAAGTAGTTAAGAACTTACTGGTTTTATAAAATATTGATGGCTTTTCCCTGTTTACAGGATGATCGGATTAAAAAGTCAAAAGTGACTGGTTTCTTGTGAATTTTGTTTTACAAGTGGTACTCTGCCTCTTAATATCTCTGTGACACTGGGAGAAGGTTACATAATTCACAGGCCACTTCTCACTCTCCCACAAGCAGGGGGAGAAACCAGAGGTGGCATATCTTGAGTGCTCTACTGCTGGTAGCTCTGTGAATTCCAATAATTAATTGGATGAATGGCTCCTGGTACCACACACACCCTAGCAAGCTGTTATAGGTGAGAAGGGATAGTGTTGTTGATCCCTGTTGTGCAGCTTGGATCCAGGAATATATTGTGTGAGCAGAAATGTGCTCGTACAAGACAGCCCTGCCAAATGATTCTATTTTCTTTATCCTGCTGCAAAATGACTACTATTCCAGAAGATCCCTTGACTCTTGAAGCAGCTTTCAGAAGGGGCAAAGAGGGCTGTAGTGTGTGAATGGGGGAGAAACCAGGGAAAGCTCTGTTCAAGTAGAAGGCCTTTCATAGGTTAGAAAGGCACTGTAACTAGACAACTGACACAGGCAAGCTGAGCAGCAGTCCAGTCCTTGCCTCCTACATCAGAACTATTGTTGTTAATTATTAAATTTATATACCACCCTTCATTTGAAAATCACAGGGCAGTTTACAACACAAGAATACAAAATGAAAACACAAAATGCATAACATGATAACAAAAAACAACACAATAACCTCCCCATGAACACATTTAAAAGACCTGCTGAAGACCTTCCTTTTCCATCTAGCCTTTTAAGTAGAGATTTTTTAAAAAATTAGGTCCCATCTGCACTCTAGACTCCCCCCCCCCAAACACCCTGGGAACTGCAGCCTGGTAAGGGTGCATAGGGCAGTCACAGAACTAACATTACCAGAATAGTTTCACAGTCAATCACTCTCCCCAGGGAATTTTGGGAAATGTAGCTCTGCAAGAAGAGCAGGGGCTTCTAGCAGCCCCCAGCAAGCCACAGCACTTAGGATTCTGGGGAAAACCATGGCAGCTCAAGGAGGTATGACAATGCCTTGAACTTAGGAAGACTAAACTTCAGGAAGTACTTCCTGATGAAACAATCTGATCAGTAACTGAGCAGATGGCTTTGGAAGGGGAAAGGACTCTCCATTAAGAGATTTATAAGTGGGGGTGGAATGACCACTTACAGAATAGTGGGCTACAATGTAAAAAGCACGTTTTGTTTTTTTAAAGCAAGTTGATTTTTCACTGAAAATAGTAATGTTTCTCTCCAGTGCTAAAGTGGTTGTCTGTAATTAAACCTCCCTCACTTAAGAGGATGCTCCCACCTAAAGCCATATTACGTACAAAATGTTACTTATTTTAATAATTTCTATACCTCTAAGCGGTGCACAAGAGGGATACATTGTACATAGTTAAATCAGTTAAAAGTAACCATATATGTTAGCCATAATTGTTCATATACTCATCGAGACTGGCATCTACAGTGACGGGTTTTGTCATTCTTTATCCAGGCTCCTTCCTGTATGGTTTTATACCAAGATTGCTCAGTGCACTTCTGTGTCTCTTGCTCACTGTCTTAATGAAGGCAACAGCTTCAAAAGTACACATCACTGGAAATCTACCAATGTAGCTTAGGACACAATGTATTTTTTTAAAGTGTTTTTATTGAAAGTTTTCAACATAAAACTAATCTAAATTACAAAAATGGTAAGAAACCAAGAAATGAGAAGAGAGAAACACAATGTACAAACGGGTGTTCCAACTCACTAATTCCATTTTGGAATTAAAAATCTGAAGACGTGACAGTAACTGGGAAAATACTGTAATTTAGAAACATCTTTTTTATTGAATATCTGTACTTAGAGATCTTAAAAGTTTGTAGCCAAATTTTTTTAGCATGAGTGGATCACATAAATCTTACTGATGTCATGTTTCTTGGTAATATTATTAGCCACTAGATTGTACAGAGGCATGTTCCACAGCTTCTGTTTTCTCCCTCTTTCCATGAAGATCTGCGATCAGTCAGAAGGATAGTTCTTCTTGCAATAGTTTGCTGTACAGAATTTGATGCTTTCTCCTGCTGTTTAAAAAGTTACATTTTCATTTTCCTATCATTTTCATTTTGTGTATGTTAGGTGGATTGCAAAGATTTCCAAAAGCATGGGTTAGGGTCTACTGGTAGCCCACATACGTCTTTCTGATAAGTATTTCTTATCTACTAGGGTGAATGCAAGAACAAAGATGAGAGAGTCAACATGACTTACAAATTCTTGCACTGAAAATAAAGACAATAAGGACTTCCCATGTACGCTAGTAAGAAATTACCTATAGCTGACACACAGTTCATAATCATACTCATCCACAAATGAGAGTCTTTACAGTTACTGCCATAATGTATTCTGAGTTCTATTTCCACCACCGGAACACCCTGTTGAGGTTCTCAAGTTCCATAAAAGGCAGCCTTCTTCCTTAAGCAGTGACGTTGGAGCAGAGATTCCCTGCTTAATCTGTGGGGCAACTACATCCCTGGTGTCACACTGCACAAAAGGTTTTCTTTCTTAAAGCCTCAAGTTCTACTCCACTGTTGGCCCAGCACGATTAGCCTATAAGCTGCTCACAATATCTTTGGGAATTGTTTTTGGTGAGGATCGAGACAGTTTCTCCCATGCTTTTGAACACTTCCAGCTGTGAAAAGTTAGGGGATGGGTATAACTTGTCATCCACGCTTCCTAAAACATAAATTTTAGTTCTCTTAAAAGGTGACCTTAATTCCACCAAAAAAAACCCACGTAAACCAGAGGGATGTCATTAAAGGTGAGTGGCAGGACAGGATAAGCAGCACATGGTCTTACTGGCTTGGCGTAATCTAAAAAAATAGCAATGTCTCTGATCCAGTTTTGAATTCAGAGAGTGTCGGCTTTTCTCCCAAAAAGAGCCTAAGAATGGGACATCCTTGAAATAACTTGGTTTTCAACTGCAGTGTGCTGTAACATATCATGTGAAAGCACAAATCCACTAACTAGTAAAATGAGGGATTATTTCCATTGCTCATCTGCTGGCAGAGATTTCTCTAAATTGGATCACGCTGATTAGTATTAGAATGACGCATTGTAGATCCAGCTTTAATCATTTGAAACCTTGAAGCTGTTTCTCCTTTGCATGGAAGGGACCACTAGAAATAGTTGCATGTGCTATTTGCCAATAATCCTTTTTTTATTTATTGTGAAATTTGTTGATTTTTGCCCCTTGGAAAACCTACCCACATTTCTCCTCCTTCAGGCTCGGCAAGATGGAGGGGCCAAAGCATGGCTCAGTTAGAGCTACGCCATTTGGAATCTCCAAGGCCTGAATGGTGGCAGATCTTCCTGAAGTTGTTCTCTTTCCCAAAACAGGATTAATTTTTGTGAAGTCTTGGTGAGTCTAACACTGCAAAGATGGCTGTGATGAAAGTCAAGTTCAACCAGAAGAAAAGAGTAAAACTAGCACAAGGGCTATGGCTCATGAACTGGTTCTCCTTGTTTGCTGGGATCGTCGTTTTCTCTATGGGATTGTTCCTGAAAATTGAGCTCAGGAAACGAAGTGAAGTGATGGACAACTCTGAAAGCCACTTTGTGCCGAATTCCTTGATCTTGGTGGGTCTTCTAGCCTCTGTGTTCAATGGTCTTGCAGGCAAGATCTGTTACGATTCTCTGGATCCTGCTAAATTTGCAAAGTGGAAGCCTATCTTGAAAGTGTACCTAGTGTTGTGTGTGCTCTTTAACCTCTTCATTCTCTTCGTGGTTCTCATTTGCTTTCTGCTGAGGGGTTCTCTGGATAGTACATTAGAACATGGTCTAAAAAATGGCATGAAGTTCTATCGAGATACAGATACTCCAGGAAGGTGCTTCATGAAGAAGACCATCGACATGCTCCAGATTGAGTTCAAATGTTGTGGAAACAATGGTTTTAGAGACTGGTTTGAGATTCAGTGGATCAGCAACCGATACTTGGATTTTGGCTCAAAGGAAGTGAAAGAGTAAGTAGTTAAGTATAACTTATGCTTTAACCCGTGTTTGCGTTCCAAGTTCCACTATCCGAATCTCAAGTCTTTGTCATCTGAATCCGTTTGGCGCCTCTTGTCTTTTGTGTTTCTTCCTTTGCAAGGGTTGTAGCTCAGTGGCAGGGCAGCCGCTCTGCATGCAGAAGGTCCCAGGTTCCGTACCTGGCACCCCCAGGTACAGCTAGCCTAAAACCCTAGAAAGCTGCCAGTCAGTGTAGACTATATGGAGATAGATGGATGAAGGGTCTGACTCAATATAAAGCAGTTTCCTATGTTCCAATACAAAAAGCCTTCTTCAACATTCCAGTTTAATGTGTGTTTTCCCAATGTTTTCTAGTCATTTAGTTTTTAGTTTGTTTTGTTTTAAAAGCTTTATTGTGAATGGCTAGAGGCTCAACTAAAAAAACCATATGGAATTAGGGTGTTTTATCCCTCAAAGGAAGGACACTGGCATTTCAAGATGCCAAATATATTGCTTTGCTGGCTGATTAAATCTCCTAGGTTCATTCATATATTTCAGACCTGGTGCTGTAATAAAGTAATTGTGCCAGTTTTGCCCTTAAACGGGAGAGGGAGTAAGGAGGGTCTCCAGCACAAGCCCCACTGAAATGAAGCGATTAACGTGGCTCTTGTTCATTTCAGCAGGGGCTGTGCAGGAGAGCTTCCTGCTTGCACTGAGCCCTAACGTTTGTCTTGACCTCTGTTAAGTCGCTCTGTGGCTATTATTGGCTTTCTTGGCTTATTGAACAGATGGAATCGTAGGGCTGTGCAAAATGGGCATGCCTTCAGAGAGACGCAGCCCCTGTCCCAGTTGATTTTATCAAACAGCTGGGCAGATTGTCTTTGATGGTTTTGCAGATCTCGCAGTCCTTATTGCTCCCTTACAGCATGCCTGGACATTGAGATGCTTCATGGGTCTTGCTTCGGATAGTATGTTTTGCTAGCGATGTTTTTCAAGTACCGCATAATCACTGTACATGCTATGAAGAGGTCTGGGTAATTTACCGGTGGGAAAACACACACCGAGTAAAATTATAGCCAAGGTAATTTTGCAAAAGAAACCCAACAACATAGCGGCAAGTACTTTCAACGCTTCTGAATGTCACAAAATACTGTATTTTTTGCTCTATAAGACGCACCAGACCACAAGACACACCTAGTTTTTGGAGGAGGAAAACAAGGAAAAAAATATTCTGAGTCTCAGAAGCCAGAACAGCAAGAGGGATCGCTGCGCAGCGAAAGCAGCAATCCCTCTTGCTGTTCTGGCTTCTGGGATAGCTGCGCAGCCTGCATTTGCTCCTTAAGACGCACACACATTTCCCCTTACTTTTTAGGAGGGAAAAAGTGGGTCTTATAGAGCAAAAAATATGGTAAGTGTCGCACATTTATGGCACACAGCACCTTTGGAGGTAAATAGACTGGTGGGATTTCCTAGCATTAAATTCCTCCTCCCACTCACTGCACTTCTTAATGTGGATCAGGGCACCACATGTTTGCTTTTCTCTCCCCCCCCCCCCGCTCCTTTTTGAGAAAAGCTTACTCAAGTTATAGTTTGGCACTAAAGGAAAACATGAGAGTTGTAGTCACCATCCCACACCACTTTCATGCAGGGATAGAATGTGAATATATCAATGAATCAATCTTTATTATGGTCCAGAGACCCAACAAATCGTTAGAAAGCAATGCACAATTCAGACAGCCTACCTCCAGGTTAAACAAGCATTTTGTTCAGACTTAAAGATAGGGATCATTGGTTCTTGCAACCACCGATAAAAACTTCGCCACTGCTAATGTTCTAGCGTTTGTCCGGTCTTCCAATAGGAACCTGACATAGTGAGCCTCTGATTTTCCCGGGAAAGGTACCAGCAAGGGTAATATCAGTTCAGCCCTGGCTTGCTCATATTTCACACAGTGCAGCAAAATATGTTTTATGGAATCGATGTCTTGAGCACACGAGCAAAGTCTGTCCTGGTAGGAAACTCCTATCAACCTGCCAGAATATATGGATATAGCAGCACTCCCCCCCCCCCCTGTTATACACCGCAATCAGCAGAAAAAAAGACACACACCCACACCCCAGGTTATCAATTAGCATGGTCTCTGACAACTGGAGAGATTAAAAGAGTTGTCAAAGGCTAATCAGTGAATTGCTGAAAATTTCAGGATTTCATAAAGCTCTTCCAGCTCCTAAGCCGTCCAGCCTGTGGCACAGGAGTGCAGCTCATCACATGAGAAGACTCTTTTGTTGCAAACCGTGAAAAGGCATCATTCGCTGTGGTGCTTCCCAGAAATGCCCCATTAAAAAGAATGGGCTGGGTTCTTTTTCACCCGCAGTGACCAGAGTTAACAGCCCTTTTCTTCTGTGAACTTTTATGTGCCTATATCAAACTTTAGTTTCCATTTAATAACCAAATATTAATCTGTTTCTTTTCGAACATTGTTGGGCGTTGCTCACTAGGCACACAAGCTCCATTCATTTCAATGGAAGTCCTAGAGAAGAAACTGATTGATTGATTGAAACTCCTTGTTCGTTGCGCCTGACAAGACTTTGTAAACCATGGCTGCCACAATACTTTCTCTTTTTTCCAAATCATTTTTATTGGTTTTCAAAATTTTAACGAATCAACCACAAATTAAAACAGAATTTATACAAATTTTATGGCTACCGCAATTCTTGTTCACTTTTCATTAAACAAGCATCTTTCTGGGAAGCTGTATCATGTTGCTCAGGAACACCATTAAATACTATAAGATGACAGTAAGGAAAGAATTCATTTCCAACTCAAGTAGGTATTTCCCAAAGCAATCAGTGAACGCACATGAATTCCTTTGATGAAAAGAGCCCTGGAATATGATAGGCATTAAGGTACCAATCCAGGCAAAGTTAATGTGTTACAATACAGTTCAATCTATGTCTACTTGGAAGTAAGTCCCATTGGCATCAGAGGGGCCTGATCCTTGATAAGTGTGGCCTAAATCACACTGAAATCAATGGGACAAGCCCATTGCAATTCAATTAATCCCATTACTTTCGGTGGAATTCAAGCATGGCTAATTTTCTTTGAATTGGTCCCTAAATAGAAGTGAAAGCAGTAGATGGATGGATATACAGTACAGTGGTACCTCGGGTTACATACGCTTCAGGTTACAGACTCTGCTAACCCAGAAATAGTGCTTCAGGTTAAGCACTTTGCTTCAGGATGAGAACAGAAATCGTGCTCTGGCGGCGCGGCAGCAACGGGAGGCCCCATTAGCTAAAGTGGTGCTTCAGGTTAAGAACGGACCTCCAGAACGAATTAAGTTCTTAACCCGAGGTACCACTGTATTGGATATGTTTGTATTAGTTATATGCTAATGGCTAAGCAATTACATTTAAGTAATTGTATATTTAAATAATTGTAACTGTTTATCTCAAATGATGACAAATATATATAAATGTAAAATATTATACTCAGATAGCATACTGAGGTTGTTTTGCTTGGTTTTTGGCAAGTTGCCCTGCAGTTTCTTAAATTTGTTTCTTTGGCTGCAATGGTTATGGCCAGAATTTTATTACCTTTAAGCCACTAGCTATACAATACTGTTATTAGCATTTTCTGAACTTTGATGCATGCTATGTCAAAAGTTATACTTGTTGAAAAAGTGTGGGGACAGTTTAAGTTGAAATACCCTTTGATATAAATAACTACTTGAGAGAACCTAATGAGATGTTCACCCTTGCCAGCATTAGCTGAAGATTTGTGAGCTTGCTCTTAATCCATCCATAGCAGAAAGGCAGGGCAGGAGGGGGAAAACAAGATTATGCTGTGCTTGAAAACGTGGGTGTGCTGAGAAATATTGAATGCTGGGCCTCCTTAGACACAGGTTTGGCCCTCAATCCCAATGGTGAAGTTGGGTGACATAGAAGCTCCTCACCACCCTCATGGGAGTTCACAGAAGGCTACATTCAGACCCCTAAGAAATAGTCTGCCAATTGTAGAATAAATGAATAAAATGAAGTTCCACATTTAAGTTTGGAAGTGAGCCCTTTAAAACCGCATCAGCTGCCTAGAAAACCATGGGTGTTTTGTTTGTGATGATGAGAGTGGAGGTCACAACTAGGCTGTTAAGTGTGCAATATGTCAGGGACTGTAAATGGATTCAGGGCTATTTCAGATGAAATGAGGCCATGTCTCAATATCTCCCAAAATTCACAGATGAAAACTAGGGTGGCCGTGTGTTCTACTTAAGGGGGAGCAGTCCTTTAGTTGTCAATTTGAAGTGTCCAAATTGGGTTTATAAAGAATCAAGGGAGTAGGACGAGATGGTTGGATAGTGTTCTCGAAGCTACCAGCATGAGTTTGGCCAAACTGTGGGAGGCAGTGGAAGACAGGAGTGCCTGGCGTGCTCTGGTTCATGGGGTCACGAAGAGTCAGACACGACAAAACAACTAAACAACAACAACAGCAAAGGAAGTAGGGGTCTTGATGTTTGCCCATACTCACAGCAAGTTGCACTAACAGTTTTATACAGGTCGGATCAAAGTGCAAAAATGGGACAAAATAGGACAGTGATTAACCAGAGACATTGCCCTGGTAAACAGGGACATAAGTAGGATAATGTAATTCTAAGTCCATTTTGGCTTGAAACAGATTCCACTATGTTCAGTAGGGTTTCCTCTTTAGTTAGGGGCTTTAAGATTGTACAAAGTGTGCTTCCCAAATTCGAATCTGCACCTGGCTCTCACTATACCTTTGTGTTTGTACCAATCACAATGGGAATCCATCGGTTCAACATCTCACAGTACTATTCAGGAAAGATGAGAGCATGAGTACAATATATAAAGTCCAAGAACTCTTCCATTTCCTCCCTATTCCCCAATGCACATTCTTATGCTTGAATGTTTGGGACCCTTGGCAATAGATTAAGGGTTGACCCAAGGCTGCCTTGGTTGAAATGTCAATGGTGCCCATCCATCACTACCTGGTCAAGTTGCAAAGTACCAAGCCTGGCCCAGGTATTTTGGTGGCATCTGATAGAGAAAATCCTAATGGGACCTTTTTCCTGGGAGTAAAAGTACAACAATAATAAATATAAGAACTAGCTATTTGCTGCCCTAGTGGTGTAGACTAGTGTAATGGTTGAGGCTTAATGTCATTTGCAAGCTCAAAATTAAGGGTGTATGAGGAGAAGGTGATAATAGTGGGTGGTAGTCAACTAAGTCTTACTCAGAATAGACCCATTGAAGTTAATGGACCTAGCTTGGTTCTGTTAATTGATTTCAGTGCATCTAAATGCCACCCAGTGTTTTTGCCTTTGCTTTCCTCTCAAAACAACAACTTGGGAACAACCAGGGGAAAGGTGATCTTCATTGTGATGTATCTGTACTGGGATCTCTCCCCCCCCCAAAAAAAAAGAAATGAAAATGAAACAATCCCTGCTGTGGAGTATGCAGCACAAACAAGAAAAGGGTTGCCATACCCTAACCATCACAACGTTCAGCTGAGCCTCCTCTCAATTAGCAGCCTGTTCCATGTGCCAGCAAGCAGTAAAACAAACAAAGCAGCAATTGGAGGATTCCTGCGTTTCTTCCATCACACCCACATTTTAATAACATTTCTCAAGCAGCTGCCTGCTTTCTCTTCTATGTGGCCGGCAGGCCAAAGAAAGCAAGTGGCAGACGTTTCTCACGCTCCTACTCTTACGCCAACACACACGTTTCTAAAAAGGCCCTTTTTGTACCTGGCTGCCAGCTGCTTCATGTGACTGGCAGGCAGCAAAACAAACAGAGCAGCACATGGGTCTAGAAAAACAAGACAAAATCAGGAAAAGAGGAGGGGGAAACAGCAGCTCTTTAAGACCCCATGGAGTCCTATGGCTTGGTGTCCAAACAACTAACTTATCAATTGCTGTTCTGACTTCATTCATAGGCTAAAAACACTGACAGACAGGAGCAGCCAGGCCATCTCATTTCACATCAATTGCTTAGAAAGGCACCTGCACATTTTACATCATAGTTTTATTTCCAGGAGGGCTAGATAATTACTTTAAAATAAATAAGGAAGGAAGGAGATCCTGCCAGGTTGGCCAATCCCCGGTGCACGCTGAGGAGCACAAGGATCACCAACAATAAGGTGAAGGTACATTTTCTTCTTGCGAAGAAAACAATTAAGTTTCATCAGAGTTCATCAGGATTTACTGGTAAGGATCTGACAAGGATCTACTAAAGTTTGGGCACTGTTCAGAGTATAAAGATATTTGATTAATCATGTCCCGGGTTTGTTGCATGAGGGTTTGTTGCATGTTTTATCCACATTTACTGGACACATTCACTGATATTATTTTTGTCATTTACTTTCATTCAGCTCCACCCCTCTGAAATATGATGCATACCCTGAACTCCTCATAGAGTCACTGAGCTTATCAAGGACTTATCACCTTTAGCAGACAAAGGCATGCACACACACAATCTCTCTCTCTCTCTTTTAATCACTTACAGCAGAAATCTAATCATATCTATTCAGAATATTCAACTCCTATTGAATTCAGTCAGGTGTGCTCCCAGGTAATTGAGGTTAGGGCTCGCGGGTGATGCTGTGGGTTAAACCACAGAGACTAGGACTTGCCAATCAGAAGGTTGGCGGTTCGAATCCCTGTGATGGGGTGACCTCCTGTTGCTCAGTCCCTGCTCCTGCCAACCTTGCAGTTCGAAGGCACGTCAAAGCGCAAGTAGATAAATAGGTACCACTCCAGCAGGAAGGTAAACAGCGTTTCCATGCACTAAACCAGAAGCAGTTTAGTCATGCTGGCCCCATGGCCCGGAAGCTGTACGCTGGCTCCCTCGGCCAATAAAGCGAGATAAGCGCCGCAACCCCAGAGTTGGTCACGACTGGACCTAATGGTCAGGGGTCCCTTTACCCGTACCTTATCACAGGCTCAATTTCTCTCCCCTCTCATGGATGGTGCCTCTGCCGGATCTTCAGCAATTCCCTCTCTCCACTGCTGCACTATAATTCTGGGAAGTTCCTCGACCATCGGGGAATTTCCAGGGAGCTCAGGAGGCTGCTGTGGCAAAAAAAATTAAAAAAAATTGGCGGGGACGTCATCTTCTGTAGACCCCCTTCTGCCAGCACTTCTCAGGATCCAGCCATCAGGTTTTATTCAAACCATCAGTTAAATTTGTACAGGAGTAAAAACGATAGTTCTGGATGTACTTTGGTTTTGGGCCAGGTTTGAGGGAACTGTGGCCCAGACAGCATGCTCAGGGTTCATGCATGATGGGGGTTGTAGTCCAACAACATCTGGAGGACCACGAGTTTCCCATCCCTGCTTCCCATGTGACATAGGAAGTGGCTTTCCCTCCCATGTATGAGAAAAGGGAGACTGCCTCTTCTGAGATGGCACTTCCCAGATATTACACAAACACATAATATGAGTGCTTACACAGATTATAGTAAATTGGAGTATTCTTCTGGCCAATTATTAAATTATCAAACTAGCTGATTAAGCGTTGTGGAATTTGAGTGGCATTTCCCCCTAATTGGTGAGTGGGTGGGAAACAATGGGCTGTTCTCGACTGATCATCTGAAGGAACAGAATAAGGTTCTGAGCAGGACATATGGTGGGACCACTTACCCCCTCACCCAGCATCATTGCTGCTTACCTGAGTGAGGTTGGGGCAGGACGGCGAAGAGATCAGGGGTGTGTGGTTGCGCCAGCCACGTTCCACTAGTGGTGCAGCTACACAGCCCACTCCACCCCAGTCCCATCCAATTAAGCAGCAGTGACACCAGTGTTGGGAGGCCAACACTGCAGTTTCATCCTACTCCAGGTATCACTACTGATTTCAGGTAACGAAGAGCTATCGGATGTGGATATTATTTTGGAAGGGAAAGCAGGATGATCATGCAGGGTTGGGTCCAGGTTTGAACACACGGAAATCAACGAGCATTATTAGTTAAGAATCCCCAACTTGACCCAGTGATTGCAATGCTCTACGCCTGTCTAAGGATGCTTCCAGCAGGCGCACAGGTTGCTCAAAGCGCACATCTGGGCCTTTGGAAACAAGAGTTTAACTTAGCAGATTTTGCCCAGAAAGAGTAAATCTAGATTTCAATGAGGGAGGGAAAATATGGGCTGGCATTTCAATACCAACAACATGATGTGGACTCTGGGGGGAAAGTTGCATGCAGGAGGCACACCCTGAGTTTGGATGTGGCACTCTGTGGCCCAGAAACGGTGCACTGAATAGTAGTAGGAATGCATTTGGATCCAAATGCTTTTATATTTGTAACTTGCTGTGCTTTGCCTGTTTACAGCCGAATTAAAAGCAACGTGGACGGCAGATACTTGGTGGATGGCGTCCCCTTCAGCTGCTGCAACCCGAGTTCGCCACGACCTTGCATCCAGTACCAGGTCTCTAACAACTCAGCTCACTACAGCTATGACTTTCAAACCGAAGAGCTCAATCTATGGAACCGCGGCTGCAGGGAGGCTCTGCTTAAATACTACAGCAACATGATGAGCTCCATGGGAATCATTGTCCTCTTTGTCTGGCTCTTTGAGGTAATACATCGGCATAGTAGTTTCGGTGTCTTGCATAGAACCACAGTGAAAGGCCAGCCCTCCACACAGAAGAGCAAGAACGGGTGATGGTACCAAGTGGGGGGACCCCCAACAAAATGGCATGGTACACAAACCCTCCAACATTTCTCTGATGAAAATAGGGACGTTCTATTCCATAATAATTTTACTATTTATATCCCCCACATCTTACGGGGTTGCCCCAGCCCCTTCAGGCAGCTTCCAACATATATGAAAACATATTAAAACATTAAACATTTAAAGAAAAACCTTCCCTAAAAAAATAAAATATTCCCAGGATTGCCTTCAGACTGCTTGGGGGGTTGGATAATCCCATACCCTCCAACATTTCGCCAATGAAAATAGGGACATCCTAAGGAAAAGCTGGACATTCCAGGATCAAATCAGAAACTGGGATGGCTTCTCTAAATCAGGAACGCCCCTGGAAAATAGGTACACTTGGAGGGTCTCATTACACTGTAAAAGGAGGGCCCTCTATTCTGGGCTCCATGCTGTTCAGGGCCTGCAGGGGAGGGGAGACAAGGAAATTTTCCCCTTATCCCACACAAAACATTCCAAATAGTACTAAAGAGCTCAGGTTTCAGGCTTGCTGCTAGCCCCATCCTGAGTGCTTTACTGTTATATTCTGCAAGTAGGGAGGAACTCTTCCTGAGAGTGGGAGAGAGAGGCCTTTAATGCTATGATCCCATCCTATTTTTTCTTTTCCTTTCTGCCCCCCATAATCAAGTAAGTAAATAAAAATACTTAACTGACCAATCATGTCCGAGATAGCTCAGTTCTGGCCCCCCCCCATCCTTGCCCCAACAACATAAATCCTGGCTATGCCCACACTCTTTGCCTTCATTTTTAACTTTCTTCAATTTCTGACTTAAAAGTTTATGATGTAAATAAAAGGACAATGTTCTTAGCTTAAATTTCTATACAGTGGTACCTCGGGTTACAGACGCTTCAGGTTACAGATGCTTCAGGTTACAGATGCTTCAGGTTACAGATTCGGCTAACCCAGAAATAGTACCTCGGGTTAAGAACTTTGCTTCGGGATGAGAACAGAAATCGTGCTCCGGCGGTGTGGTGGCAGCAGGAGGCCCCATTAGCTAAAGCGGTGCTTCAGGTTAAGAACAGTTTCAGGTTAAGAACGGACCTCCAGAACGAATTAAGTTATTAACCCGAGGTACCACTGTATTTAGCTGTGTCAACCAGGCAGTGGTCTTCTAGGAAGCTCCTCCTTGTTGGTAGAGAAGGCAGGATGACAGATCTTGTGGACTTGTTTAAGGGAAGGAGAGTTTCCTGTCCAGGCTAGATCAGGAAAAGAAAAGGGAACCTTGTAAGTCAGCCTTTGCTAACCTGATGACCTCTAGATATTTTGGACTACAACTCCCATCATCCCTACCTTGGATGCGTTGTCCTGGGCTTATGGAGGTTGTAGTCCAAAATATCTTGAGTGCACCAGGCTGGCAAAGGCTGCTTTAAACCCATTTCAAGGGCAGTCAATGGAAAAACACAGAAAGTAAATGAGCTGCAACAACCCATAAGAAAATATCCAAAATCCATATTAGGGCAGTATGAAAAGGTCAGAAAATAGTGCAAAAGCTTTCAAGTTAAACCAGAGATGTTCATCAGGCTGTTGTTGTTTAGTCGTTTAGTCGTGTCCAACTCTTCATGACCCCATGGACCAGAGCACGCCAGGCACTCCTGTCTTCCACTGCGTCCCGCAGTTTGGTCAAACTCATGCTGGTAGCTTTGAGAACATTGTCCAGCCATCTCGTCCTCTGTCGTCCCCTTCTTCTTGTGCCCTCCATCTTTCCCAACATCAGGGTCTTTTCCAGGGAGTCTTCTCTTCTCATGGGGTGGCCAAAGTATTGGAGCCTCAACTTCACGATCTGTCATTCCAGTGAGCACTCAGGGCTGATTTCCTTAAGAATGGATACGTTTTATCTGTACAAAGAAAAAAACCACATTCATTGCTTTGTCCATTTTTGCCTATGGCTCCACCCACTCTGGCATTCCCAGAAGGGATTGTGGCCCTCACTCGCAAAAAAAGGTTCCCCATCCCTGCCATAGGGATGATCAGGCATGATCAAGTCTTTTACATGCACATGGGCAGGGTGGAAGATGACAGAGGCACTCCACTGTGGACTGGCAGCCTCAAGTCACAGCCCACCATGGCAGAAGGGCATCCCAGTAGGTACATTCGTGATAAGACTGTTGTATGGCAGGAGGAGTTAACATGCACATACAGGCTAGATTCAGATGCCAGGAACATTGCAGATCTAGTCTCAGGATGAGGGGCGGTGGTAAATAGAAGCCTTGAGACCATATTCTCAGACTGGGGTCAAGGGCCATATCCTGCCTAACATAAAGCAGAACCAAACTCAACATTATTTCCTCACTCTGTTAATTTATCTCAGGTTAGTTTACTTCTTTAGCATCAGTTTTGCATTAACGCAGGGTTTCCCAATCTTGGGTCTCCAGCTGTTTTTGGACTACAAGTCCCATCATCCCTAGCTAGCCGGACCAGTAGTCATGGATGATGGGAACGGTAGTCCAAAAAGATGGCTGGATAACCAAGTTGGGGAATCCTGGTCTAACAGAATAAGCCTTCTCAGAACTCTCTTAACTGCCCAGACACTATTTTTCTGAAGCAGCCATCCTCCTCTCTGATGGTCAACTTGGGTGACTGCCTGCCTATCAGTCTGGAACAGAAATGGGGGCATCCAAAAATAAGGCAGAGGTTTCTATATACCTAGATCTCTAGGTATGCACATTAAGTGACATTTCAAAAAAGAAAAAAAACCTCAAAGTGCCCTGACCGGAACTGTGAGCTTCTAGGATTTACAGAGGATTGATGCCGACAGTGACAGAGGGGAACAGTTCAGGACTCAGAAAGAACCGTCAGTGGTCTGCCATTCCCCCACCCCTCCAGCTCTGCCAGACGCCAGGGTTGGCCCTAGGAGAAAGGACATTGGCCTACTTAAGTCCTTGGCAGGATATTGTAAGTATCTTGCAGCAGGGGATTAGGTTTGGATGAGTGCTATGAGGTTAACCTCCCCCACCCCTGACAGCGCCGCGCCGTGCTATTAGCATAAAAGGGGAAATGAACACTCTCCAGAACTTTATTTCTCATTCATCCATTCACCTCACCGCTGTAAAATGCTTGCATTCATGCCTGACAGCTGTATAACACAGCAGGAGAAGGCATTGGAATTGGGTGAAGAAGAAGAAGAAAGTGCTCTTCATTCTTTTCCCACTCTACACACACATAAAAACTACACGAGAAGTCGAAATAGAACTGCATGAAGCATTCCTCTTACCCAGTGGCATCATTCTCTCAGGTTCCACTTCTTATTTTTGAAATTCAAAGTTGAGGGCTTTGCAGCCAGGTGACATAATTGCAGGAGACACAAGCAGGCCAGCCAGGACGTGCAAGAGGGACCTGGTTTCTCTCAGGCTTGCAAGCAAATCCGGCTGTGTTCTTAAAATGGCCACTCTGGACTGCGAGTGGCCATTTTAAATGTTTCATGTTTGCATTTTGCTTTGTATTGGTCAAATCCAACCATAGAACTGCCCCACCCCACCTGGTAACTCTAACACGCATCTATTACATTTTAATCTTCAATAAATAATAGTAATCTGCCACATAGCTTAATGTGAATGCTTATATTTTACAATCTAGTTGGTCTGGGAGAGGAGTGGGGGTATTCTAGATGTGGAACTCCAACTCCCACCATCCCTTGAGGCGAGTTATAATGCTACAACATCTGAAAGCCTACAGGTCCCCAACTCCTGTCCTTGACCAGATAACCAGACACTTGATTGCAAAATGTCAAGAGTTCTGGTTGATGGAAATGGCAGAAGTATAACATTATCACTGAACTTCTACCACTTGCATTCTGAGATTTTACAATGCAAGGGCTGTAGGAGATTCCTCAGGTGACATCTAGCAGGACTGGCCCACCTATGAGGCAAGCTGGGGCAACTGCCTCAGGCAGCATGATCCGCAGGGATAGCTGATCCCAACATCAATCTTTGTTCCCCTCTTCTACATGCTGTAGATCTCCCCTCAAGCCTTCTTTTCTGGTGGGGTGTGGGGTGCCATTTCCGGGTCCACCTCAGGTGCCAAAATGTCTACTATCTAGACTAACCACCACCCTGCCCACAAAAAGCTATCAATGTACCTGAAAATTGCTGTAGAAATCTCCTCTGCCAGTTCGGAGGAAGATTATAACCACAAACATCTACTAGAGTAAAATTATCTCTGCAGGACTTGGAAGTTATTGAAGGCAAAAACATGTTTCTTCCCTGCATATGGTTGAACAATTCAAGCACCAGATATGCCACACTTTTTCCAGAATCTAAACAGGGATGGGGAACGTGCCAATTGAACTTGCCAGCACAAGTTCTGCCAGCTTCAACTACTTAGGATTGCTTTGTCCATCCTGTGGTTCTTTGGATCCAGGGTTTAGATCAGGGATGGGGAACCTGTGGATCTCCAGATGTTGTTGGGTCTTACTGGGGCTGATGGGAATTGGAGTTCAACAACATTTGGGATGGTCACAGCTCCAGAGCAATCCTAAATATAGGAAACTTGCAGAATTTACACCAGCTTAAGTTAAACTTGCATAAGCTTACCCCTATTTCAAAATCCATTCAGGAGAAGGCCTACTGCAGAGGGGAAACAATCCTTTTAAATAGTGTTCGACTTACCCTGCTGCTGGGCTGCCAGGTTATGTGACTGAGTTGAAAGAGATTTGGAATATGTGATAATAATAATTTATTATTTATACCGGGTTTCCCCAGCCACTCTGGGTGGCTCCCAACAGAATATTAATAATATTTTTTAAAAAGCAACAAAACATCAAACATTAAAAGCTTCCCTAAACAGGGCTGCCTTCAGATGTCTTCTAAAAGTCAGATAGTTGTTTATTTCCTTGACATCTGGGAAGGTGTTCCACAGGGCGGGCGCCACTACCGTGAAGGCCCTGTGCCTGGTTCCCTGTAACCTCACTTCTCACAGTGAGGGAACCGCTAGAAGGCCCTTCTCCCATTGCCCCACCCTGCCCCCACTGTGGTCATGGAATGACCCCCCCCCCATTTTACTTACACCCCAATTTGAAAACCTTTTTATTTAGACAAGACTTCCTGGATTTCGGCTGTTTCCAGGTTTTGAAAGGCACATTTTATACTGTTTCATTGTCTGAATGGCCTTTTGCGTATCACTTTGACATACTTGGACATGAAGGGATTTACGCATTCTTTAAATAAAGGCATTTAAATTCTGTTTCCCAACCAGATGTCGGTGATGATAGGGTTGAGGCTGTTGCATACTTCCCTGGAGAGCATTGCCAATCCAGAAGATCCAGAATGTGAGAGCGAAGGATGGGTGCTGGAGAAGAGCCTGAAAGACACTTTCAAATCCACCCTGGAAAATTTGAAAAATATTGGTAAGATGAACCAAGTGGATGCAGGCACAGAAGGGGCAGAAGGTGATGGCGCAAAAACCCAAGCTGTCTCAACCGTCAGTTGAGTTTATTGGCTGAAAAGACTGTTACCAAAGACTGAGATTTGTGAATATTCGGTTTTTAAAAAGGTACAAGCTGTCGCAGCTATATATATATATGCATGCACAAAACATACACTTTTTACATACGGAGAGAGTATAAAGCACTTTGTGGATAATAAAAGCATCCTTACAGTAGACAGCCAAAACCACTTCTATGGGAAATGCTATAACGTGAAGTTTAAAGCAGATACTTTCTAGGGTAATTCTATTTTTGAGGCAAGTGATATTTCATAAGAAATTCGGTGGGAATAAGTGGTCGACGCTATCTTGTGTTTCGCATCCCATCACTGGAAACCGAATGGGGAAGTTTAAAGCTAATTATTTTTGTACTTAAGTTTACAAATATATTTGTAAAAAACAACAACAGTATACTTTTCTGGGGGTAGTCAAAGCACTGCTCTGGATGTTCTTGCTAGAGCAAAGGAATATTCAGTTGTCCAAGTAATGGAAAGACATAGAGAATGGTATGAGTTCATAATAGCCTCTAATTTTTTGGATAAACACAAGGGTTGTTTGAAGTTGTTACTGAAAGGACTACCTTCTGCCATGTTCACATGATGCACAAAAACAGAGAGTAAAATTGTACTGGATTTCTGTGCACTGAACACCAATTTGTCATTTGATAAAAATAAGATCACACTGATTTGAACAGCAGATAAGCTATAGCCCAAGCTGCCAGCGATTGCTCAGGTGCTGTGATGCCAATACGTCATTCATTCGTTTGGTAGGTATTTCTGTATTTCAACTACTTCAGAGTTTTGAGGCTCACTTTGTTTTAACATACACACCAACTACAATAAATCGGACATGAGAATTCTGCTGTTTCCTGGGAAGTAATCATGGCAACCAACTTGTAGCGGTTTGGTTGTCAAAGGGAAAATATTGCCGCAAATCAGTACTTGGGTGTGAGCCTTTCCCCCTCCTTAATAGGCACAAGCTAATAATCGAAGAAAGTTCAACATTTTATTCGACAAATTGGATGCAATGCAGAAAAGTTGGATTTTCTGCAGCTTACAGAAGACATCATTGGCTCAATGACCTTGTTGGCTCAGTGCACTTTGAATCCAAACACATTATTTTGCATGACTGTATATTACTTTACTGTTATTCTAAAAGTGGTGATCAGATAGCAAATACTTTTTAAATTTTAGAAGCTGGAATGAAGAATGGGAAAGAGCTTGCTGCGTAAAGAGATTTTTATCTTTGTTCTATATGAAGTTTCCATTTTTATTTAATTATTTGTACATACATGCATGTATTTGCCAGGCAAGCCTTTCCTGAGTGAAAGCAAAAAGCAGTTAGCTAGCTTCAGCAGATTCCTAGGTGCTGTGAACAAACTGTGGTTGGACCTAGTACTTTGTCCAAAAGACTTGACCATCTTCAGTAAGTGAAGAAGAAAGGGATGGGTGATTGAGAAGAGGTTTTGAGTAAGTCAGACCAAACGGTCCATCTAGGCTGGTGCTGGCGACAGCTCTCTAAGGCCTTTCCCAGCTTTTGTTATCTGTGCTCCTTTTAACTGGACATGTTGAGGACCAATGGGGATCTTCTGTGTGCATGGACACTTGACAAGAGAGAGTGCAAGGGGCCATAAGAGAAGCTGACCTCTGCTAGGTATGGCCACAAGCCCCAGAAGGGGGAGACCTCTGAAATAAGGACCATGAGACTGAAGTGAAAAAGGAGGGCAGGGTAGAAACTGAAGCACAGGAGTGATGTGATCACAGAGAAAGGAGCGCCAATGTAAAGGAATCATATGGGAGAGAAAAGCAAGTGGGAATGTCAACAAGGAGTAGGTTACAGTAGTATCCTTAAGTCATGACGGGAGTACAGCCATGGTTTTTAGAAGCAGGTATCAAAAAGAACGAAAAATAACATAGCGAATTGACTTGTGAGGTGGTGTGTTGTTTGATAAGATTGGGGGGAGGGGAGCTCATTTAATTTCATTGTACACAGGTTGTACAATGACAATAAAGGTATTATTATTATTATTAAGAAGAAGAAGAAGAAGAAGAACTTGGTGATGATTAAGGGTTTGCTGACTGCTTAGGTTCCAGAAGAGGACAAAAGGAAGGGTTCAATGGTAACCTCCATGAAATTCTAGGCAAATTGGTGTGTGTGTGTGTGTGTGTGGTTTTAGTAGGTATGCCATTGTCGCACACAGGTTCATCATTAGTGAGGTCACATGTACAGTTTTTACTCTTTTTCCAAATGAAGAAGTTAGTTAAATTCAGCATATTCCCAGTTTCCAAATCCATTCTTGATATTTGCAAATGTTTAGAACATTATCATGAACCTTAGTACGAACCTCTTAAAAGAATTCTGCACTTCAGCTTTTGAAACGCAGTTTTTGAAACAGTGAAATATGGATGGCAGGACCAGTAAGCAACAAAACAAAAGATTAGGGAATACAGTAACTAAAGCTAAATATACAAAATCTGTTGTATATAGATCTATAATGGTGCTAGTTAGGTCAACATGAGACATTTTTCAAAGAACAGGCAGCTGGAAAGGAGTTTAATTATGAAAATTTCAAAATGCTCTCCAGGGAGATTTTAGTGTGCTGTGCTCTGTATCTGACATATGAGTAGTAGTCATAAAAAGTTCCAAAGAGTTTATTGTATTGCACCTAAGCTTATTGCAACCCTAGAAGTATTTGACTGCAACCATCACTTCATACAGAGTTGGGTTATATCCCTCTAATTTGTGTGGGGTTTTTTATTTAACACATTATTTACTGTGATATCGGAATATATGGGTTCACTTACAAAATCAGCACATTTCACAGCTAATCTCAAGAGTTACCTCATTATATTGTATTATATTAGATTATAGAATCAGTTTTTGTTTAAGGACTAGCGATGGGGAACGATTTCATTTGAAGTCACATTTAAAAGTGAACCTACCTAATTCATACTTTCTGAAACAATACACAAACAGAAACAGAACCATTTTATAAAATTTGTACTTATATGAATTTTGCAGTGAAGTTCTCCAGCCAAGAAATGTGTTCAAAAATGCATGTTTTAGGGGGAATTCTGCATGAAAATAGACATAGAGTATTCGTGAAAATAACTTACGAAAATGCATGTTACAAAAAATGTATATATTCATCAAAATTGCACACAAAATTTGCACTTAAATTGTGTGTGAATATTCATGAGGATTTTTTTTAAAGAAAGGATTTTCAAACAGAGGTGGAAATGTGGAAAACGAAACTTAAGATTGGAATAATAAGAGACTGTGATAATAAGATACTGGGAGAAACCAACGCTGAAAGATTCACCCATTCCTAGTAAGGACACAAGAGACATAGACATTTTTGTTGTTTTTACAGAAATGGGAGGGATCCGTTCTTCTGAATGAATACTTTTTCTTCTTTTGCTGAAGGTGGATAATCTCCACCACTAGGTTGAGCAGATTCCTTTAGAACAAGCAAAAAATTGGAACTGCCACACCCCTTTGGCAGCAATACAACCTAGTGGTGAAGATTACTCATTAAGAAGGAAGGAAGGAATTGGTGGTTGAGAAATGAAACAAAAAATGCACTATCCTGCAAGATAAGATATTCCAGTTCATGTGGGTCTTTTGACATGGCTGTTTTGTATTAATTTGTAATATATATTTATCCTATCAAGAAAGAGGCTCTGTGATATTGTAAATGCCATTTAACATATGTTTGTAGGTGCTATTTTTGCAAATGTGAATGTAGATATTAAAATTATCTATATTTTAAGAGTGTGTACCTTATATATATTTTAAAGTATTATGTGGATTTTGTTTCTTTGTAAATAGTTTTTTGCTGTAAGGATTTGTAATTCACTGTCCAGCGCTCTAGAAAGGTAACATTTGCTCTGCCTTTTTTCAGCTTAAGACTCAAAGGGCCATTTGACATATTAAGTAGTGACAAAACATGCTCCCCCACAAATGCACACTTGACAGAACGGCAACTGGGGCTGGGGGAGGATTGGCAAATTTATGATCGGCCTTCACCAATTTGGTACTCTCCAGATGGTTTGGATGACAATTTGCATTAGCCAGAACCAGTCAGAAATGATGGAAATTGTAATCCACTGTCAGCTAGAGGGCACCGGATTGCGGAATGCTAGACTGGAAGCTCATGATGAAATAACCTTTCTGGAGCTAGCTAACTAATAGCTAAGCACCTCTGAATTTGGTGAGTCCTGCAATGGGAGTCCTGCAATACTGCTTGGTGTTCCTTGATGGAAGGAAGAGGGGACAGAACATTTAGGAGGTATTCTACTAATGAGTTCCATCAGTGCAAGGATTTCCACTTGGTCAGTGGGACTGTCCCATCTCTACTCCCCTCACAATGCCCCCCATTCCCCAAATATGCCCCAGAAGAGTGGGGGAACCCCTAGAACTGATTTAGGGGACTTGCAGAAGGAAGAGTGGAGAGAATGTACTCGTGCACAGAAACGGAGATCTTTGTGCTCATGGAACCTTCCCCTGAGCGCTGCATTGGATTCCGTCCTGTATTTCTATACCACCCTTCAGCAAAAATTCACAGGGCAATGAACAACAAATCACTATATATTCTATAACTAGTTTCAGCATCAATACAAAACAAGCACAACATGAACTAAAATAGCAACAGAAACAAAACTACAGGTGCACACCACAAAACTAACTGTGACCGACTTCACCTCTTCGTTAGCAAAAGAGGTACCTGTTCACCTTCCTTCTAAAATAAAGGATAATGGCAAGGCAAGGAGCAACTCAACGAGGAGATTGTTCCAGTGTCTTGGAGATGCCTAAATGGTCTCCATATTGCTGATCAGGACCACCATGTGGGCTTCATTGGCTGATCTTAAATATTGGGCCAGTTGGTATGCAACAAGGTATTTTGGTCCCAGAGAGTTCAAAAATTTACATGTCAGAATAAGCACCTTAAGCAGGAATGGGAAGACAATTATTAACCAGTACAGCTGTTTTAAAATGGGAGTAATATGTGAGTTCCCTGCTGCTCCCACAAGACTTGGACCACTGTGTTTTGTACTGCTTTAAAAATGACTTCCATGTCGAGTGTGTTGCAGTATGGAAAACTATGGCCAGGCTACCCCTAGCCAGGAAAGTTGGTGCATCAGCCAAAGCTGAGCATAGCTGCTACTGGCTGCTGAGTTGGGACTTTGGTGGGGGGGATACTACTGGAACCATATTCATCACCAAAGTGCACCTCTCCTCCTTTAAGGAAAGTGCAATTCTATTCAGAACAGGCCATTTCACTAACTGCTGAACCCAGGAACCATCCTCCCTCGGCACATCTGCTTTATTTGGATTCAGCTTCAATTTGTTGGTTCCCCATCCAGCCCATTACTGCCTCAGACACTGATTCAAGATCTGGGCTTCCCTGAAGGCGTGTAATCATTAATCCTCAGACTAATAAAGTGCACTGTGTAACTGATTTACAGTAGAATGGTCTCAAGGTTGCTGGCTCATTTGAGATCAAGTGGAAAATATCCAAAATCCAGAAACAAAAATGTTCATTCAGACATGTGGCTCTCATGTAGCCACCTTGGGGACAACACAGGGCTGGTGTGCAGTTACTTTCCGTGTTCTATAAATGCCTAATACACCCGACTGAATTTACAAGGAAGTTCTGTGGAAGCAACAGCCCATCTTTTCTGCTCATGTTTAGAAATGTGAGTGTTACTTTAAAATTCCCCTGTTCCTCCAAGACACAGAACACTTGGCGAAACATCCTAAGAGGGAGGAAAGTATACACACAGCTGCTCCAGAGCTAATCGTTTCTAAGTAACCTTAATACATTTTATAAGATTAACCATCATGCACTCCTCTATCCTGCACACGTAATGCTGGACAGTGATGGCTTCTGTGAGCATGTGCCGCTTAGCAGGAGCAGGAGACGGCTATATCAGGCTCCTCAGGCTAAGGATAACCTCTGCTGAACTGGTAACTGGCAGAGTTTACAATGATGCGAGTAGAATTTTTTTTAAGCATTTCAGAGAAAGGGAAAAAATATTATTGCTAACTTTGCTTATGCTAAAGCTAACGCAGACCTCAGCTAAATAAATTTAGAAGGTGATGTGGTATTTTTAAAATGCTCTTTAAAAAGAAGAGCATTAGAGGTTAATTGATTAAGAGATAAGGCCAGAGAAATAGAACAATGTCACATGCTAACAGCTCCCCACTGAGAGATAAATGCCTGGATAAGTTTGTTTCCAGCAAGGCAACAGGTTAGGCGATGCAGAGATCTATTTTCAAGTCCAAACTCAAGGTTACCCTTCCAGTTTTGACCGTACTGTTATTTGTTGGTTTTAGAGTTTGCATTTTCAAGAATAAAAATAATTGTGTGTGGTAAGACGGGAGGAGAAAGGAGTGAAGAGCATGGAGTAGGGAAAAGAGAATGATTTATTTTTGTGGAAAACTGCAGTCTTCCATCAGGGAAATTCAGATATACAGAAGTAGATATATAGAAGTTCAATGTTTTGTTGAAACAAGTCCTGTTTTAAGGACATGATCCAAAATAATAAGAATGAACTTCTATACACCTGAATTGCCAGCATGAAGGACTTTGGATAAAATTCTCTTTTTCGTACCTTGTGGGGTTTTGTTTTGTTTTTGCTTCTTTTCCTAACCCCACCCCCTTCCCAGCGTGATAAGCAAGATGTACTTAAAACAATGGGCTGAGTCACCACTCAGGCACACTTGCCCCGTTGAACTGGGAACTAAGTCACGATTAATTTTTAACACTGCTTGCAAATAGGCTAAACAACCCAGCTCCTTCAAGCATTCCTCATAAGGCTTGGTTTCCAGACCCTTTAATGATCTTGGGAAAGGAGTCTTCACTTCTCCTGAGAAGTAGTCCTGAATTGTGTGGAGGCTTTCTTCTGTGCTTTGCTGTGTAATACTAATTTGCTAAGATGCTGAAAAGA